GGGTGGGTTTTCAAATACAGAAAACTTTAAGGTAACGTTGAAGGTTGCTTGACTGACTTAGAACTTCATCCCGCAGCTTTTGCTAACCCAGAAAAGGCATTCCAGTTTAAAAAAGCCCTCTTTAAGGCAGATCTGACCTCTGAATTTCACAATGACTACTGCAGAGCAGCCCCAGCTGTTATTAGGGACGTCTGTGTCCTCCGTGTTAGCAAAACATCCCAAGGCAGGAACATCTGTCCCCTCATCGCTGATCAGAACCGCATCTCTGAGACCTCCTCCAGCCCTGGTGTGGGTGTGAGCAACAGAAACTCTCCCAAGTTGTATACATGGTTGCAAACCCTCAGATTCCTGGGAGAGAAGCGCAAACAGGGTCGGGAGCTAGAAGCTGCAGGTTGAATCTGTTGTCCTGAACTTGCTGACCTTCAGGAAAAGAGCGGTGTTTTTCTTTCCAGTGCTGTTCTGCAACTAGCGTAGAGCTGGTGCCGAGAGCCCTGATGGCAGCTGCCAGCTGCTTTCAGAGTTAATTTTGCCGCCCTAGTACCCGGAGCCCTGGCCTCTGTGCGCACCAGCTCCTTGCGGAGGGGGAGGGTTGTGTGTAGACCGTGTGGCCGGGGGGTCGCCCCCTGCCTCTTCCTCCCCAGCCCGGGCGGCTGCCTCTGCTCAGGGGATAAGGAACACGGATCCCTGCCCTGCAGAGCTGAGGACTGGTGGGTGTCAGTCCAGTGGGGGCCGCGGGTGAGGGAGCTCATCCCCTTCCTGGAAACGCGGCCGTTGTGAGCGGACACTGTTCCCGTCTCACAGTTACACCTTCTACAGGTGAGGGCCCTCCTGGGTCCCATGTCAGAGACGCATGGTCCAGGAGCGGCAGGGCAGACCCTGAACCTCCCATCAGGGCCTGTGACTTAACGTGATTCCTTTAAGGGGAGCAAGGGTTGTTTCAGAGTATCTCCTGGTTATATTATTCTCTTAAATTGTGGGAAAGTAGTCATTGTGCCTCTGGGCCTGGGGCCCAGTACTGGGCAGCAGGGTGGTCCCATGTGTGTCCTGCGGTGGGGTCGGGGCACAGAGGCCTCTCCTCTTATTCCTCTGCTGGGTATGTTTCTGCTTTTTGACCAGAGAGCAGACGCAGGCGCACCTCTGAGAGCCCGCGGCGGAGCGAGGACCTCGGTAGAGAGCGGCGCACCGACTTCCCGGGTCCCTGTGCAGGGAGTGGCGTTCCCACTGCGCCGTAGCCTGGCAGGGTGCAAGGGCATCGGGTCTAGGGGAACGACGCACAGACTTTAAAAATACCTTATTGTAAAAAATGCCAAAATAATTACAATAGTGACATCAAAGATCGCTGATCACAGGTCATTGCTACAAATATAGAAATGATGAAAAGGTCTGAAGTATTCCAAGAGTCACCACAGTGTGACACAGAGACTCCAAGTGAGCAGATGCTGTTGGGAATGGTGCCGATGGACCTACTCGCCGCAGAACTTCGATTTGTAAAACGCAGCGTCTGTGAAGTGCGGTAAAACGAGGCGTGCCTCGTGCAGCGGGCAGGAGGGAGCCTCACTGCTGCCACGCTCCCTGGAGCTGACAGACATTCACCTGCAGAAGAGAAGCAGACATTGAAAATGCAGATAAGGATGGTAGATTCTCAACTAGGTGTGCTTTCTGAGGCTCCGTGGGTTTCTGATTACCCCCTGCGGGATTTGTCTAGACAGTCAGGGCTTTGGGGGAGGGAGGCAGCCCGGGCAGCCGCGCCTCTCCTGGCTGCTGAGTTCCTGGGAGCTTTTACAAAATACAGATTCCCGGGTGTCCCTCAGACTCGGAGAACCAGGTGAACCTCTGACCTCGATGATCCCAGTCACCCGGTAGCAGGACAGTGTCCAGTGACGGGCCGGTCCAGCCCAGCTCACGGTGGAAGTGTGGTGGAGAAATGGACATGTCCTGGCCTCCCAGCCCCGGAGCGCGTCCCCTGCACCCAGGGGCAAGGTCGGGTGCTTTCCTTTAAGATGAAGAACTTTCCATGGGAGATCGCTGCTGTGAAAGGCCTGGCCCCACTCACTGTTGTTCCATGAGCGCCGCTTCTCCAGGGGACGGTGGCTTTTCTGCGATGTGTCTGTCAAAGAATTTCCTTCGAGGTGGTGGTAGTGAGGCTGCTGGGGTGATGTTGTTCTTGGTACCAGCTCCACTGTAACTAACGCCCCAGATCCCGTGCGCAGACCCTGGGCTGAGCACCCCAGACTCACGCCCCACAGGCCACCGTCCCCCACTGTCCACCCTCCATCCAAGCTCAGTGGATCTTGTGATGTGAAACTGAAGTAAGACCAGATGTTGGCGGCAGTGGCGGGGGTGGGAGGGGCAGCATCTTGGTAAGCCCTCTGGAAGCCATGTGCCTCCTGGGAGCCGCTCACGGGACCAGGGTGGCCTCCGGCAGCCTCATCGGGACCCCGCCGCCAGGTCCCCCGGCCTGCCCCCCTGGCAGCTGGAAAGCTGTGCACGTGTGGGAGAGGCCTGCGAAAATTTATGATTTTCACTTTAAGAAAGTTAAAAAAATAAATTATAGAGAATGTAACTGGGTACCTACCTTCCAGAGTTGACATAAAAATTTTTAATCATATTTGCATTTTTAAGAATAAAATGAGTAAAACATCACACAAAGTTACATATAAAGTACGTTCTGTTACGTGCAGGGTGTGACACTGCACAGGTTCTGTAGCTCCAGTGCGCTGTGTAATGCACCCCCTGGCTCAGTCCCTCCCCACTGTGGGGTGGCCATTGGCCATTTCTTGAATTGACTATGTACCTTTGGTATGTTTTTAAAAATAGCTTTATGTCACGTTTGCAAACCATCAGTCATGTGCAGTGGGGTTTCATGCGCTGTTTTAGGCACATAAACAGAGGTCTCATTCCCTAGGGCTGCTCCCCACCTGCCTCCCCCCTAGTGCCCCAGGTCACGCTGGGCCCTGTTCCCTTGCCACGTGTCCCTCCTGTGTGTGAACAGTCCCTGCGGAGGGTCTCGTGCAGTTCAGTGGATGTCCCCGCACAGGTGTCCACGCGCGTGTGACGGTTCTCCTGGCTGTGCCGCCAGTGGGGTGTGCACGGATCGAGACTGCTGGGCGCTGTGGGTTGCTCTGCGCGCTGTGGGTTGCTCTGCACGCTTGCTGGCTGTGCTGTTGTTGGCGGCCCACGGCCATGGCCATGAGCTGCTGCCACCTCCCTCCTGACAGCCCCAGCCCGCCTCCATGGAGGGGCCTGGGGCGCTGGACCGGGTGGCGCTATTTCAAACTCCAGGGCAGAGCTGAGCACAGGTTGGGGAGAACGGCTGCTGTGGATGGGATGGGGCCGCCTGTGAGCGAGTGCAGGACCCCAGCTGGAGGAGTGGGGCCCAGCTTGCTGCGAGCTTGTGCCCACACCTGTCGCTGCAGTCTCAGGGGACGCTGGCCCTGGCCGCTCGAGCCTCGTCCAGGGCCTCTGGGGGCCCCTGGGAGCCTACGAGGAGAGGGTCTGGGTTCTGGAAGGGGCGTCCTCTCTTGCGGCTCCGTCTTAGGTGGAGGGAAAGCTTGGGGCGAGAACATTGCTTCGGATTGGTTTTTAAAGTACTCTTGGAGGCACGGCCCCGTGGTTGTGCAGTGGTGAGAGCGTGTGTGGGACAGGGCAGGCCCGCCTGGCTTCTGCCCGCCCCCGCCCCCACCTCTTCCTCCATGCCTGCCCCCTGCCCCACCTGCTCCCCTTCCCCTGCAGTCCCCTCCCCCAGCCCC